GATTTTGATCCCCAGAAGAGTTGGGCCGAGCTCTCCCCGCATACGACGTGGGATTCCGCGGGTATGTCCAATGGGCTTATCGAGGACCTGGCCACAGCTGTTGTGCATCGGTTCATTTGCTACAATATCACCGGCAAAAAGGAAGCGAACAAGGTCAGTGAGGGTGAGCTTTTTCTCCTCTGGGCGATGCGGTCGGGAGTGCGAGTGTGTTCCATGACCTTCCTTCAGAACTCTTTCCAGGAGATTGCCCTCTCCAAGCGTGGACTACCGGCACTGGGGCACTTCGTTACCGCACTCGCGAACCATTTCGACATCACCCCAGAAGCCTACCGACTTCATGGTGAGATAGCGCTTCGGGAGCGGTCTGAAATGCGAAGTCTCAACTACAATGAGCTCAAGCAGGCCGACCTTATTCGGAATCGGACTACGGTTAAGCCGTACACAAAGCGCACCGCCTACGACACCTATTTCAAAAAGCTCCAGCAGGGTCAGCCTAATTCCGATCCGGCAGGGTCGTCTCGGCAACCGACGGAGGACGCGCATGAGCAGATGAATATTGACGAGGACCATCTACTTCCCCCTCCACCCGACTGGACGCCGGCGCCAAACTCTCACCCGGAGATGCCCCCGCAGCAGCCACCGACATGGTGGTCCACCTTTCAGACTCAGTACACAGCCGACATTCGTTCGATCCACGATCGCTTTGACGCCCAGGACAGCAGATGGTCTGCCCTCGAGAGCCGACAGACCACGCAGTGGACCAGCTGGGAGGCACAGCAGAACACTCGCTGGGACCAATGGGAGACCAGGCAGCAGACTCACTGGACTCAGATGGGTTCCCAGTTCGACACTTTCGCTGGCGGCCTCCAGTCAATCCGCGAGCGGCAGGACCAGCAGGACGCTCGGATGGACAGTTGGGACCAGCGCTTCACTCAATGGGACGCCCGTTGGGGTTCGGGTCCCGGTCACCCTCACCAGCCACCATCACCTCCGGATGCACAGTGACTTGTCACTGTGCTTTGTATGTTCTCTTTTTCCCTTTCTCTTTTATTTGTGTACAGCTTCTTTGTTTCTGTTTTTGCGTTGGTCTGTTCTGTGGTCTGCTTTGTTTCTTTGTTTCTTTGTTTCTGTCTCCTTCACCGCGACTTGACAATGGGGACATTGTCTGGTTTTCAGTGTGGGGGAGTTTTACGTGATTATGTGGTGGACCAGTCTAGTTTTTAGGTTTCTGTGTGTTTTCAGAGTCTGGACATTGGTGTATTGCAAAGCTTTTTGATAATCGTTGGTTTAATTGAGAAGTTGTGATGATGAGCACTAGTAATATATCTTTAATTGATTGGCTTCGTTGTGTTGAGGAACATATTTACCTTGTGAGGTTTGAGCCTTATTGTTTCTTGTGTGATATTGGTCTGAATCTTGTTAATTAGAATTTGCCTTGAGACTGCTTTGAAATAATTGGATTAGATTGATGTGACGTGAATATGATTGAGGCATTTCTTGTACTCTCTTTTCCTTTTTCTTTGTCGAGAATAATAATCACTAGTCATCCCCTTTGAGCCTTAATTG